TCCCACCGGTTAGGCGGCATCAAGAGGAAGTGAACTACATTGGTGGAAACTTCGTGTATCCTGGCCAGAACGTCTATCAAGGAGCTCAATACCAGCCTAAGCAAACAAGTCTATCCTAAGGGAATCTATCAGGTGGAGCAGCCCTTCACTTTCCCTCAAGCTGTTGCACCGGCTCAACAAGAAGAGAAGTTAGATGTGGTCTTCAAAAGATACATGGAGGAGCAAAGGCAAACCACCCAGAGCCTCTATGAGAAGCTAGATCGTGTTTCACTGATCTTTGCAGCAAGTTTGGATCTCTCTCCTCTCATGTCCAGAATTGGGGGTTCAAATAGTCCAAACCGCGGAAGCCGTAGAGAAACAAAATGAGGTAAACCCTACAACATTTTGTAGCATTGTCTCACCTAAGGAAGACCAGCTCGTACCTATACCTACCATCTCAAGAAGGAGAAGAAGAAGCTGAGCCTAAGGAGAGCCAAAAACCGGAGAGGTTTCCATGGGAGTCAAAGAGAGCATACAAGAGAAGGCTTGTGAACAAGCCATTGCCAAAGCTAGAAGATCCGGGGAAGTTTGTGATTCCTGTTTCTATCAATGGGTGTGAAATCAATGACTGCCTATGTGACACTGGAGCTGTTGTGAATCTCATGTCTTATGCATTAGCAAGAGATTTGGGATTCAAATATTTTAAAGATCCTGAGGCAAAGATGGAGTTCGCGGAGCTATCATGTGTGGAGCCCTATGGAGTTTTAGAGAATGTTATGCTGGAGATAGGAGGTCGCCTAGTCCCTACTGATTTCCAAATCATGGTATGGGAAGGATCCAAGAGGAACCAGCTGCTACTTGGAGCCCCATTCTTAGCCACAGCCGGTGCAGTCATAGACTTCATGAGAAACCGCATGTCACTAGGAAATATCCAACAAGATGTTTTCTATCAAAGCATCGACTTCAAGACTGCACCAAGAGCGATCAAGCTGCCACCAGAGAAGACTTCTAACACGCCACAGAAAGGAGCCATGATGCCTAAAGATCCCAAGAAGAGTGAGCCCTATCCAAAACCGAAGGTGGTCATGAAACCATCAATGCTGAAACATAAAGATGTCTTCAAAGATATCAACTCGGTTTTGCTCCCTACCTTGACGAATATGGAGCTAATGAGAAGCCTTATGTAGTGCCTAATTCCCTTACCAAGATAAGAATCCTTGTCTCTAAGGGTTGGGTCCCAAAAGAAGATCATACCGCAAAGGAGAAGCTGAGGAACACCTTAAGGCTCTTCCCAAGTGCATTTGTCTTCAAAGGTGGCATAGGAGATGATCTTGGCGTGCCCAAACCACCACAAGTGAGCCCCCTGAACCAGAGAATGGAGAAGCTAAAGGGATCCTTTGCCCTTCAGCCACTCTTCACCACGATTAAAGAAAGAAAAGGAGTCAAGCTAAATGACTTAAAACAAAAGCGCTTTATGGGAGGCAACCCATATGGTTTTTAACTATTCTATTTCTATTTTGCAGGAGTTTTTCAAAAATCAAACAAAAATACAAAAATATTTTCTTAGGATGAAGACCCAAAGGAGACCAAACAATGGAAGTGTCCCACCCAATGAGCCCACCCTTGTACAAGGCGTCTCTTCAAAAGGTAAGTAAACTTCTCACCTAGTATTCATTCTAATCACTGATCTTACTTGAAAAATCGTTTAAACCATTGCACTTATACAATATATTTCATGGTTTAACTTGATTTACTTTTGATGATTGAAAGAATACATAATCACTTGTCAAAACTCATTTCTCACTGAAATTACAAGAGATTGAACTATAGTTTGAAATTTGGATCATTACCAAGACCAAATAAGAATTTATAGTTTGTGCTTTAACTCTTGGATTGTGAACTTCAAGTTGGTCACTTGAGGATCACAATCTAAGAAACCATCTAATCATGATTTCAAGTGTTTTGCAAGGAGTTACCATTTGACAGGAAGGAGAAATGAGCAAACCTATAACCACCTAAAACCAACATGCATATGGCGGCCAAAGGGAGGTTAAAAGGAGATACACAGGCCATCACACGAAACAAGGCGGCCACCACTTGGGAATGACACAGGAGGGTTATTAAAACAATTCGGTCGAAGAAAATCTCAATTGGCCCGAGTGGATTTGAAGAAATTCAATCCGGACATTTCTCTCGGCCATCCGCGCACAAGGAAGCCAATTACGGCCAACTCCTAAACGGCGTGACCGAAGTCCACCAAACTTCACAGGCGACCATAAAATCACATTTGGTCGGCAAATCCAAAAGATAGGACGGAGAAATCATCACGGATCATGAGATAGACGACGGAGCTCATTCTGGCCGATGGCGCAAGCAATATGGCCGACAAAACCAAATCACGGCATAGGCGCGCCAACCGGTTGGAAAACTCTTCTTTGAGCTTAACTAACACTTTTATGCAGGAAGAAACGAAAAGGAACGAGCCAAACTTCAATGGCCAAGGAAACTCCTTCCCGGAGCCGACTTGACCATTTTGTGAAGGAAGTCTCAATCCGCTCGTACAAATGCTCCCAAACTTCACCAGAGGCATAAAATACCAGGTTGGTCGATGAAATTTCAATATAGGTCATGAAATTTTTGACGGTTTGTTCTGTAGTTCACAGCACCACATTTTGGCCGACCGAATATACCAATCTCGGCCAAAACACAAACCGGCGGAAACCAAGGCCTGAAATTAAAAACTCACCGACCAATATTGCCTAAAGAAGTGTAGAATGACCCAAACCGGAACTGATCTTCATTATAAATTGGTCGACATTTGGTAACATCATCCTAAACCTTTTTCTTTTCAATTTTTCATTTGAACTTCATGTTATGCCTCTCTTAATCCGATTTGATTTCACCGGGACGGTGCAAGTTAAGTCTGGGGGGATTACTAACAATGTTTGTTCATTTTGGCGTTTTCATTTGCATTTTTCCCTTTTATCGAGTCGTTTTTATTGAGTCAAAATTTTTGTCGAGAATCATGACCTTATCTTGGATCTAACCATGGTTGTACTAATGTTTAAGTGACCATTGAGCAGTTCTTGGCAATACATCTTACCACAGGTGCACTATGAGTTGATCGATCTACCAAAAACGCCTACATCTCTAAAGACTTGAGAAGGATCCATCTTTGACTCCGCCCTTAATGAACTTAATCTTCTCAGCTAGGGGCTTGGCATACAAATGGCATGATTCCTCATCCTCTCCATCAAATGAAAAAGTCTTAGTGAGTTCGTGCTTCCCTCTCTCTCCCCTTCAAATTTAAAAGAAAAAGCGTAAGGTCCAAGTAACCGGGGATTCGGTGGCAAACACCATCAATACTCGCGTCTATGGAAGGCCTATGAATCCAAGCAACCGGGGATTCGGTGGCAAACACCATCAATACTCGCGTCTGTGGAAGATCCAAGCAAAACCTCTATAATAAAGAGAAGGAGTTGAATAAAAAAATACTTCGCTACCCTAAAAAAGGGATGAATCAACTCAAAGAAGTGAGAAGAGAGAGAGGAGAAACATGGAGTAAAAGACAAGTGCCAAACAAGGGGATGAGAAAGAATCTAAAAGCCGGCTGATCGATACTCCCTAGTTGAGACCACACCTTTAGAAATGAAAGGAGTCAAGGGTGGCGAATTGGATTGTCCAAGGAGAGGTGGACCGCTTTGGGAAAATCGCAAAACTCATGGTATGTACTTTGTTCTTAATTCAAAACTTGCCAATGCTGTTTCATGTGGATTACTAAAGCATAAGTCAATTTGGATTTCCAAAAGATTTGAGAGTTCTCACGTTTTCAAACCTCTTTTCCTGCTTAGTTTGCTTGGGGACAAGCAAAAGGCTAAGTCTGGGGGAGTTGATATCACCATATTTTACATGATTTTACTATATATTTTATATGTTTTCAAACGGTTTTTGCAAGATTCTTTGCCTTTAGAGGTAGTTTTCTTGTATTTGTGGGATTTGAAGTCTTTGTAGGAGAAATAATCAAAAAGGATGCAAAAAGGAGCAAAAGAGCCCTAAATCCAAGATCCATGCAAGTTTCCAAGTCAAGAAGATCATTTTATCTCCAAGTGTTAGTTCTCGCTAGCGCGCAGAACGAAGCTTCGGAAGTTTGGCCGCGCGCGAGGAGTTCCCGACGTCCAAAAGTTACGATCTTGATATGGAAAGATAGATACTTGAGTCATGCATCACGTCGAAGTGGAATGAAGCCATTTGGATCAACTATGAGGCCTAGACTTATTTTCTACCGAGACATGTCCGGTAAGCGAGCAAACGAAGCCCATGGAGGATTTGGAGTGTCTAATGGCCCGAGCAGCAGCGCCAAAGGCCTTGATCGAATAGAGAAGAGGCCTGGCTAATGTTTGGAGCTTTCCTTGGTACAATGTCGGCCCATACACGACGGCTTTGGCTCATGGGAAACTTTCCTTTTCCGGCATGAAGAAAACCCTACGCGACTTCGCCCATATATACATGTTTTTAGCCGCTGAAGAAAAGGAGTGTCGAGTTTCAGAGGTTGGCCGTCAGAGAGAGAAGCCAGAGATCGTCCAAGAAGAAGGAGGCGCCGCTCAACTCTTGTTCTTTGTTTTCTTGTTTTCCATTTCTTTTGATTGGATTAAGAGTTTTCAAGGGAGAATCCGACTTTGTTCATCAATAGAGAAGCTTTCTTCATCCCTTTATCTCTTTTAATACTTGCATAATGTTTACAATCATGCTTTGCTTGCTTGTTTGCATCATGGCCGAGTAGATCTCTTAGTTAGGCCGAGGAGATCTATGGTGGCCGTGATGATTTGATTGTGTTGCAACTTATTGGGATTTATCTTATGGATCTTCACCTTTACTTGAGCTTAATGCATGATTACTCTACCGTACATCTAGTAATCTGATCTTAGAGAAATAGAACCACGACAGTGCTGAATCTAGATCTCAAAACTAGTATTTGGTGAGCAATAGATCATAGCCAACGAAAGCTGAGTTATGGTTTATTGTGAACAATTGAATCTTGAACCTTGTAATGCATGTTTGCAATTCTAATAGCCAACGAAAGCTGAGTATATTAGGTTGTTTTAAACATAGTGGTTGGAGCCACGACAGTGGAAAGACTATACCTTAGTGATTTGAGTTCAAGAATGATAATGAATCCCTTTCACTTGATTGTTTGTTGATAATTTGTGATGCTTTGCGATTTGCCTAATGCCTAGTACTTTCCCTTATTGTTTACACCTCATTCTAATCACTGCTTTGTTCTCTTTTGCTTTGCTACTCACAACCTCTCATATTTTGTTCTAGCTTGATTTTCAATCTTTGTAGGTTTGAAGTGAAATCACATCTCCCTGTGGTTCGACCCCGACTATAACACTTTTTCACTCTTTCCTATACTAGGGGATTTCACTTGGAAAAGAAAATGTTCCATACTAATGGATTCGAGTCCATAACCATGGGTTCCAGTGCACGAGATCTTGTAGCACTTACCAATGAGGCCCTATCAATTAGTATTACACAGAAGAAATCAATTATAGACACTAATACAATTAGATCTGCTCTTCATAGACAAACTTGGGATTTGCGATCCCAGGTAAGATCGGTTCAGGATCATGGGATCCTTTTCTATCAGATAGGAAGGGCTGTTGCACAAAATGTACTTCTAAGTAATTGCCACATAGATCCTATATCTATCTATATGAAGAAGAAATCATGTAACGAAGGGGATTCTTATTTGTACAAATGGTACTTCGAACTTGGAACGAGCATGAAGAAATTCACGATACTTCTTTATCTTTTGAGTTGTTCTGCCGGATCGGTCGCTCAAGACCTTTGGTCTCTGCCCGGACCCGATGAAAAAAATAGGATCACTTCTTATGGATTCATTGAGAATGATTCGGATCTAGTTCATGGCCTACTAGAAGTGCAAGGCGCTTTGGTGGGATCCCCACGGACAGAAAAAGATTGCAGTCAGTTTGATAATGATCGAGTTACATTGCTTTTTCGCTCCGAACCAAGGGATCCCTTATATATGATGCAAGATGGATCTTGTTCTATCGTTGATCAGAGATTTCTCTATGAAAAATACGAATCGGAGTTTGAAGAAGGGGAAGGAGAAGGAGTCCTCGACCCGCAACAGATAGAGGAGGATTTATTCAATCACATAGTTTGGGCTCCTAGAATATGGCGCCCTCGGGGCTTTTTATTTGATTGTATCGAAAGGCCTAATGAATTGGGATTTCCCTATTTGGCCGGGTCATTTCGGGGCAAGCGGATCATTTATGATGAAAAGTATGAGCTTCAAGAGAATGATTCGGAGTTCTTGCAGAGCGGAACCATGCAGTACCAGAGACGAGATAGGTCTTCCAAAGAACAAGGCTTTTTTAGAATAAGCCAATTCATTTGGGACCCCGCAGATCCACTCTTTTTCCTATTCAAAGATCAGCCCTTTGTCTCTGTGTTTTCACATCGAGAATTCTTTGCAGATGAAGAGATGTCAAAGGGGCTTCTTACTTCCCAAACAGATCCTCCTACATCTATATATAAACGCTGGTTTATCAAGAATACGCAAGAAAAGCACTTCGAATTGTTGATTCAGCGCCAGAAATGGCTTAGAACCAATAGTTCATTATCTAATGGATTTTTCCGTTCTAATACTCTATCCGAGAGTTATCAGTATTTATCAAATCTGTTCCTATCTAACGGAACGCTATTGGATCGAATGACAAAGACATTGTTGAAAAAAAGATGGCTTTTCCCGGATGAAATGAAAATAGGATTCATGTAATGTAACAGGAGAAAGGTTTCCCATTACTTAGCCGGAAAGATATGTGGCCACGAAATAGAGATTAAGTGGAACGGAATTGACTGGGTGGTAGAGTTGTAGAAACACCTGTTTCTTCCACTTAGCTCCATGGAACAATATGCTACTACTGAAACATGGAAGAATTAAAATCTGAGATCAAAACACTATGTATGGATGGTATGAACTGCCTAAACAAGAATTCTTGAACAGCGAACAACCGGAGCTATTACTCACTACATAAAAAAAAATTTCCATTAATGAAGGATGGAAATCCATTGGAAAATCAAAAATACGCATGTCGGATGAAATTGTTGTTGCTATCTGTTCCAATAACGAATCAACTGAATAACTAAATAAAATAGATAGACCTTTCTCTTCGTCTCAGGTCGATGGATCTTCTCAATTGGAAGATCCCCTATATGGATAATACACATTCCAGTTGACCGAGCCTAATTCTAATTGTTTTGTTCCGAAGTAAAGATATCCACGGAGTGGTTCGCCCTATTCAGATATTCACGACCAAGAAGTACTGGATTCTCTTTAGGATAGGTCCTGAAAGGAGACGGAAGGCTGGAATGCCGCCAGGCGTCTATTATTGAATTCACCCGACCCGATAGTACCAATTTTGGTAACGCCCATCCAGTGCCAAAGTCACTGAATGGGTAAGTCACCAATCCCTAAAACGGACTATGTAATGTACTTTATCTGCTGGGTTACGGGGGCATTTTACCAGAGGTTTAGATTGTATCAATCTACCCTTGTGTGATTCC